ACAGGCGATCAACAATCTAAAAATACATACATACTTATATGTATCTGTGAAAGTTAAAAAATTTAGCTTACTCCACTTTTTTAGTTTTATGCAAGTCAATTTTTCTTGATTAATTATGTTTAAAAGAGTTTTAGGGTAATTACAAATATTTGAATATGCGATTGATTTGGGCCGACAACCCAACTCCATGGGACTGTATACGTATTTAAATTCAATTTCTAATTTCGTCGCAATTAAAAGTGCTAAGGATTCACCTATATAGGGAACAACTTCATTCAACACCGTTTCGTCCCTTATATTTGAGATCTTTGTCTGGTATACAGCTTTTAGGATTTGAATCCTCATCGTTACCAGTACTGGCTAATGATGCTTTGGGCACCGTCATAGGTATTTTGGTGTCCTTGTCGGGGCCAGATGTGACAGCCGTTTTAATCGGTACCTTCCCAATATTAGAAAGGGCAATTGCACTTTTTTCTGGCGAGTTGGTGGTAATCTCCTCGCTTTTAGAATTTGGCTCCTTAACGTTACCAGTAGTGGCTAATGTTGCTTTGGGCACCGTCTTAGGAGTTTTAGTGTCCTTTAAATGAGAAAGTGTGTTTTAAATGTGAAAGTTTTGTTCAATATCCAAATTGGGTAAGAATTTTAAATGGGAATTTATCGGACTTAAGCCCTGAGCACAAGGTATACAGACGTTTATAAAAGTCTAAAATCAGATGTTGTCTAGCTTTTGTGAAACATGTGAATGAAGAGATATATAAACTACAGCTAAAAAATAGTGTGAAACTTGTGTTGAAAGAGATAGAAATAGTCTTTTTTGCTCGTGACGCCTCTGTATACCCTGTGCCCTCTCCACTAAAGTGGTGTATTGTATAAATACACAACGCAATAAAACCAACACCCAATTTACACGATGATTTTTTTCGTGTTTACCCAGACGTCTATTTTCATGTTTGTCGATGATTGTTGGTGAGAGGGGTAGAGAAGAGTGGGTAAGAAAAAAAACATGATTTGGGTTTTTCATGATTGTTTGTTGAAATATACATGATTTATACTCATAAAAAATAATTACATGTCTTTTTATAGAAACACTAGCTATACCCAGTGTGCTTTGCTACCCTAAAAGGAATGTGTATAAATAAAAATCCCACTTAACGATTTTGAAGATTCTAACTACAATAGTTTTCCAGATTTATAATATGTTACATATGAGAGATGTCAAGCAAATTATTGCAAGTTCGCCAGTTTCTATCTATCGCCAATTTCTATCTGTCTATAAAAATTTTGAATAATATAAGAGTTTCCAAGATGCACGAAATTTTGTATTTAATTCATATATGTTGTGCCAAGCCACCCATTGAAAGTCCGCTCGTTATGCTCTAAATGTTCACATGAATTTCAAAGTTTTTCATGTAAAATTTTAAGATTATAGCTCTAATAGTTTCTCAGATATACGAATTTTTCTATTTGAGCTTGAAGCCTCCACATGAAAGTCCAAAATGTTCAGATGAATACTAAACTAATTTGTGCAAAATTTTATAAATCAAGTTCTATTAGTTTCCCAGATAAACGAAATTTTATATTTATTTGGGAGGTACCAAGTTCCCCATTGAAAGTCCGCCCGTTATGCTCTAAATGTTCACATGAATTTCAAAGTAAAATTTTAAGATTCTAGCTCTAATAGTTTCTCATATGGGGGCTTCAAGACCCCCCAGATGAAAGTCCGCTTTTTTCCTCCAAAATGTTCAGCTGAATATTTAAGTTCTTTGTGCAAAATTTGAAGTATTTAGTTCCATTAGTTTCCCAGATAAACGAATTTTTGTATTTAATTAATATGGGAGGTGCCGCTCCCCTCATGGGTAGTCCGCCAATTTATTACCCAAAATGTTTAGATGGATGTTAAAGTTATTCGTGCAAAATTTGAAGATTCTAACTGTAATAGTTTCCAAGATAAACGTATTTTTGTATATAATTTATATGGGAGGTGCCACGCCCCCTAATGCTAGTCCGCCTACTTTTTGTCCTAAATAATTATATTGACACTAAAGTTGCTCCGACAAAATTTGAGGAGTCTAACTGTTATATTATCTAAAATATACGGATTTAATATTTTCTTAATATGGGCGTGGCTCCTCGCCCACTTGGAATTTCAAAATAAAAAGTAGCCTATTACCTATTCCAGACATACAGTAATACACTGTGAAATTTTAATAAAATCGGTTCAGCCGTTTAGTAGTCTATAACAACGGTTCCCAAAAGGGGGTCCGCGGACCCCTAGTGGTCCGTAGCAAAATCCTAGGGGGTCCGCGAAGACGAACGAAAAAAATCATGAATAAAAAATATTCTCTATATGTTACAAAATATTAAAAATATCTCCAAATTTTTCATAAATACTAAAATACACAATTTTTATTCAATAATCCCAGATTTGTTGGTGACTCTTTGAATTTTATTGTTTCGGTTGTTTATCAGGATGAAGCTAGGCGCTACAAATTTATTGTTTCACTTTTATAAAGTAAAGTATTACGTGATTTGTAATTTTTATAAATATATATGTATCGAAATAAATGTTTTTATAGCAGACGGATAATGATTTGCCTTAGAATTAAATACTGATACTAGTATCCCGGAATATGAAGTTAGGTCACATTTCATAATATTTTTTTAAATTGTAAGCAAAAGTGTTAATCTAGTTAATTTTAAATATAAATATTCCATTCCAACGTGATACACAGATTTTAACTTCATTTTGTTGTCCAATATTATTAAATCAACATCAGAAAATTCATAGCGTTTTGCGTAAATAGTCAAAAGCACGCAGTAAAATAATTCGTAGGTATTTTAAAATTCAAATTTAAGATCCAAATTCACAGTACATTCGCAAAGAGTTCAAGTCATATTTTATGTGGGTAACGCATTCCGCAACAACATCGAAGAAGTCTAACTTTCACATATTTTCCCGAAAACTTAGCTTACATACTCAGCTCACTCCTATGCAATCGCAAAAAAATTTAGAAACATGACTCTTTAAGCACATGTCGACAATACTTGTTAAAGAAACCTTTTCTCTACCTTGACGAGAAATGAACATGAAAGCTCTCACGATCATAAAATTAAACATCATGTTAGAAGTCATTCTATATTTAAAACCATGAAATTGAAAACATCTCCGAAATACTAAATGTTCTCAATGTACGGGAATATTTTATAGGGTTTATGGACCAGGACTAAGACAATTTTCGGACGAACAATTACACAGTGATACAGCAAAAAAATGCAGGGGTTCTCATATACCAATTCCATTTCGTTATAGTCCATAGAGTAGGAATTTATTTTTAATTTTTCCCGATCACTTCGTTTAGTTCCTTTTTAAGAGCAAAAGTTGTGAAAAAGAGCTATTTTTGAAGTTTTAACTTTAAAAAAATATATGTCTGGTAGTTTGCAACCGATTTTCAAATTGGATATTTTGTTTTAAAGATACAAGTGTTGTCTTTCAACCCAAAAAAATAAATCCAAAATTTATGATTAATGTCTTGGTTACGGCCATTTAAGTAAAAAAACTCACACTTTTTTCACAATTTTTAATTTTCATACTGCTCTACGTTGGCCATGAAGCAATAACTTTAGCTTTTATTACATTTGAAAAAAGCCACATTAAGTTGGGTTTCCAATGATGGTCAATTTATGATAATCGATGAAAAAGGTTATGAGTTGTGCTAAGTTTTATAAAAATATAGCATATTTCTTCCATACAAAAACGTTCATGTTTCTGGTTTTCTTTGTAACAAGTTTAAAAAATGTTTATAAACATTTTTATACAAAAATTAATTTGTATGGAGAAAACCAAAAATTCGAGAAACATGCTATTAGAAAAATTGGCATAAATTATCCAGTTTTTCATAGATTTTTATGAAATAACAAGTTTTAGAAACCTTCCTTTATGTGATTCTTCAGGAAAGTAATAAAAGATGAACTCACTGCCTCATGGTCAAAGTAGAGCATGATGAAAATGAAAATTTTTTAAAAAAGTGTGAGTTTTTTTACTTAAACGACCGTAACTCAGACATTTGACCATAAATTTTGGATTTCTTTTTTTGGATTAAAAGACACTTGTATCATTAAAAAAAAAAATCGGATTTGAAAATCGGATGAAAACTACTAAACTTATGATTTTTCAAATTTAAAACTTCAAAAATGGCTCTTTTTCGCATCTTTTGCTCTTAAAAAGTAAGTTAACGAAGTGATAGGGGAAAACTAAAAATATATTCGTACTCTATGGACTATAACGAAATAGAATTGGTATATGAGAACGCCTGCATTTTATTTTTCTTCACTTTTGTATCACAGTGTTATTTATAACAATAAGATATCAAAATATGTATGGGGGTCCGTGAAATTAAATAAATTCCTCAAGGGGTCCGCGAAGTAAAAAATGGTGGGAACCGCTGGTCTATAACGTTCAAACATACAAACAAACACACATTAATTTTTATATATGTATATAGATAAATTTTGCATAAAAAATTATATTTATTATATATAATCAAACTAAAATGTATTTATGTTAAAAATTTAATTTAACTTTTATTACGAATAAATAATTAAAAAGTGTTATACAATTAAACACCAAAAAAAGTCATGAATATATTCATGACTGTTTAAATGATATGTTTAAAGCCCATGTTTTTATTAACACTGAAGATATGTTTTCAGAACCCATACGATCGAAGGATCTTGGCATATTCGTTGTTAATTTAAATGTATATAGAGAAGAAACATTTAAACTTCAAGAAATACGCGGCAAATTAATATGTTTGCCATATGAAAGTAGCCATTTACTTATTTCATTTTGTCATTGCTCTTAATGATTATATTAAGTTGGTCCATCCAAACATTTGTTTGGGCTTTATTAATAAATAATAATAAATAAATAAATAAATAAATAACAATAAATAAAAAACAGTAATTAGATATTTTGCATTTTTAGAATATTTTTTTACAAAATGGGACGCTCTAGACCTGTGAAGGAATCTTCTACTAAAACAAATCCATCAACAACCATTGAGACTGCATCAAAATTGGAAAAACTCCAAAAAAGTATAGAAGAACTTCAAAAAGGTATAAACTTGTTAAGTAAAACTATAAAAAAAAACCTTAAATTATAAATGTATTTTAACATAATTAGTAAACAACGACATGGCTAAAGAAATTAAGGAATTAAAAGAAACATTTTGTGGACAAAACAAAATAATTGTAGATCTATTGTCTGAAATGCATGTCTTATTTCCTCTTAAATCTAAATCGGAAATGGACGATATAGAACTAGAAATTTCTGATGAAAATATGGAAGCTATGGTAATAAAACTACACTAATATTTATTAATACACCTAAATTTTTATTATTCCTTATATTTTATTTCAGACTCACACAATTAAAAAAATAGTGGGAAGAAATGGTATTAAGAAAATGCTAACAGCCATTTTTGATAAACATCTGCTACTAGAATTTAACGTTGATGGAAGACAAAATAAAAAAAGACTCTTAGACTACCCAAAACTTATAAATTTAATTTACAGTAAGTTAATTTAATAAATTTATAATTTTATTTATTTCATACTTGTTTTTATTTTTTTTCAGAATGTGTCTATAAAGACGAAATGTTGACAAAAAAGGCCTTTTATGATGAAATAAGAAAAGGCATTCGCTTGGCAAAAAATAGACATTACAAAGAAGCATCCTTTAAAAAAATCAGCAGCTTAGATTAAATGACATTCAAAGTGATTCTTCTAATGATGAAAATAGTTTAAATTATTTAAATACAAAGGAAAATGAATTATCTTTAATGGATTTTTAACTATTTTTCTTCTTAAATTTCATGAATTTTCTTTTTTGGAATAATTTATTTTTTACTCTTATTGCTGAACGAAATATTTTTTTATAATTAATTTTTTATTCTTATTCATTTTTTAAAACACTTGTTCTTTTTTCAATTTCCAATAATTTGTAAATTTTGTTATTATTGAACAGACCAAATATTTTGTAAAAATATTTATACTTATAAAATATTATTATACTTTACATTTTTAAAAACTCTTAATTATTAGAATGAAAAATTTACAATAAACTTTTATGTCGGCATTATTTTATATCCTTTATAAAACATGAATAATCAATAATATTTAGTTATTAGTGTGAAATTAATCAATATAATATGTTTTGTAAATGATCTCTTTTTAGTTCTTATTCATAAAAATTACATGTTGATAAAAATAAAATTATTTCTATACATAAACTTTTATCAGTTCTTTTTTTTGGGGTGGTGGGGGTGTTGGTAGAGGAAATGGCTTAATAAAGCATTACTAGAATGCCTTCTTTAATACATATTAAAGAAGGCGTGATAGTATCCCTTTTTTAAGGCATAAATTACCAACATAGTGGATGCTGTGTAAAAGGCAACTGGATCGTGCTTCCGCGAGCACCTGATATAATCAATTCCGAAATGCACAATTATTTGTACATATTTAATTCGATGAAATCAGGTTAATTTAAAAGCTGTGAAATATGCTTATTTTGGATTCCTTATGCAGAGCCTTTACGCGAGGAATCCAATATAAAAATCATGTAATCTTTCATGCGAAGTGGTAGCAGTATACAAGTGCTCTCAGCCTTACCTGCTTCCGAGGAAGCACCATTTTTTGCTGGGTAGTTGTATGTAAAAAATCACCGTAAAAATGTTCATGATTTTTGGAAGATTCTTAAAAGATAATTGAAAAAAAAACAGACGTCTATTTTATAGAGAAATGTTGCTGAATTAGTACTCTGTTTGTATTGTTGAAAAACATATGAAATGTTTCTAAAGGGTGATGGCAACACGTCAAAATTTGGTCAAAACTCGTTTATGTGTTAGTAATTTATTCCAGCAATCATTGAGGAAGAAAAACCATAAATTTCATTTTTATTTAGATTTTGCGACGGCAACATCATTTTTTTACCGCATAGTGATAAAAAAATGTATGAACAAATTTTATGCGTTATGTGTCTATACTGTTACACATACAATTTTTACCATTATTATAAATGTCATTTTTGTTATAAAAAACAATTATTTATTTTTTGAAAATATTTTTTTATTAATAAAAAATTGTTTTATTAAAAACTGGATATTTTTCTTTGTATATTTCCAGTAAAATTTGGTACTGTGCCTGTAAAGGACCCTTCACACGGTCACACTTTACGTACGACAAGTCTAATGAAAAAGTAAAATGAAATTCCATCCGTATGACAAGAAAGAGAATAAAAGTCGTATGATTTATATTTTTTGTGTTTACACGATTGGTATAAAACAATAACAAAGTAAGATGGAACAGCTGTTTCACTTTTTTTGTATGTGTTTACATAAAAATACATCCCTGATCTAATGCGACTTGCTTGTTTTTTGAATCATTTCAAAAAATGAAGAGAGCCATACGACTGTCAAATTTTCCATCCGTATATTCTTTCAATTTGTGATGGTTTCATTACATATTGCGTTTAGACGATCCCATCCGTTCTCTTCCACACAAAATTTTGACAGATCATATTACTTGTGTGCTCGTGTGAAGGGGGCTTAAATAAATTCGAATATAATTTTTTTTCATCCACATTTCATTTACCTTGCGGCAAAAAATGTGATGTCTCACCAAAAACTAAATAAAAATGAATTTATGCTTCTTCTTCTTCAATGTATGCTTCTTCTGCTTCAATTTCAGTTGAAAATCAAAAGTGTTTTGATTTTCATCAAACCAGCGCGTGTGAGTTTTTTTTCACTAACACAATCAAAAAAATCCTGTGTGTGTAAATTTGTTTGATCATTTCCATCACCGTTAACAACATTTCAGCAACATTTTTTTCAATTGTATAAAATAATATAGACTCTGTTAGTTCATGTGAAAATTTAAATAAAAGTTTATTTATAGGTCCTAAGTTATTGGAGACCATGTGTCATCCAATATCCATTATATATTACGTGATATTTCATAATTTAAATGCAATTTTCATTCATAAAAAGTCGGTTTTAGTGACATTTCTTTAAAAAAAAACAAAAACCCAATATAGAGCATTTTGAGAGGATAGAAGAAATATTTTTTTTTTGTTTGCTACGCCTACTTTCTTGTGGACGGAGCTCCAAAGTTTAATACATTTTTGTCTATATCTCAAAAACTTTCGTCTACCTTTCCAATGATATATAACATGATACTAAAATATGGACCAACTTTTGGTTTTTCCCGAAAAATAGACTTTTTTTCATCTAAAAGAAATAGGTAAAAAATGTCTATATAATTCAATTTAAAATTTCTATATGTTAATAGCCAATGAATTAAACTTTTATTTAAGGTATAAACCATTTCTGTATCTAGTCAAATGAAAGAGATATTTGATTTCAAAAAGCATTTATTTTATCCCCGGCTTCGCTTAATAAAGATTTGCTGAATATCCGGCCTACGGCTGGACGCAAGGATTTTCTCCTCTATGATATGTCCAACACCGGATCCGATTAATAAAAGTTTCCTAAATAATCATTATTTAATTATTAATATCTCAAGAAGTATACTTATAAAAACATATTATAACTTAATAAAAAGCTTGGCTTTTAAACAATCTAATTTACATACTTACTTATAAGGGATTTTTTTATCCCGATTTCTTAGATAAACCTCATAAATATCGGGTCAAAATTTATGTTGACATCTCTCATAGTAACATATTATAAATCTGGAAAGCTATTGTAGTTAGAATCTTCAAAATCGATAAGTGGGATTTTTATTTATACACATTCCTTTTAGGGTAGCAAAGCACACTGGGTATAATATATATTAGGCTTCGTTTCAAAAAATAAAATGTTTCCCGTTTTTGTGATATTACAACTTTTTAGAAGGTTTTTGTATCAGTGATTACTATGCTATAATAATTTTTTCAAAATTCCAACTCCTTCCTCTGCATATCTGAGGCGGAAACCACTGATTTTGAGCGACATTTTTTACAGAGCAGAAACTGTAGAATTTATAGGAAATCATGCTCTAATAATTGATTTTATAGGAAAAATCAATAAGAATGAGCTTAATTTCACACTTTTATAATGCTTCAAAAGTGCATTTAGTGTTATCCAAAGATGCACTTTTTTCAAAAAATATTTCAAAAAATGTTTTTCTTTGTGCATAATCAAAGTATGCTTTTTGCTGAGACAAAAATTTTATCATTAACCCTTTAGATGTGATGAGACTTTAAATTTTCAGATTTGAAACTTTACAACGCTATATTTCGAAAACCACGAAAGTTGCAAGGCCCATGATTTGTCATTATACAAGTTATATATGGAACATTAATTCGATGGAGTTTTATTAAATTCGGAGATGATGATGAAAAACACCATTGTTTGATGGGAAATTATTAAACTACAAGCCAACATTATAACTATCATAACTCCTAAAGGGATTACAATAAATTAAAAATTTTAACATTTTTTTTAAGGGCATTGAATATTATATTTACGAATGATAAAATCAGGTTTTTGAATTTTTTTTTTTTTAAATTGCATTTTTTCTTTGGCTCTTATGCATTTATAGTGCATCTAAATTCTGTCAAATTAAGTTTATATATCTTAAATTTTCCTGTAAGATAGTATACTAAAGTCAGATTTGAAATATGTACAGCAGTTTTCGGACTATAAAAAATGTCGCCCAAAATCGGTATTTTGGCCGCAGATATGCAGATGAAGGAGTTGAAATTTTCACAAAATAATTACGCCAATATTAGCGCTGTTCCAAAAACTGTCATAAAAGGTATGATATCACAATTTGAAAAGTATTGCGTGAAGCCTAATATATATATATATATATATATATATATATATATATATATATATATATATATATATATATATATATATATATATACTACTTTTTATTTTGAAATTCTAGGTGGGCGAGCAGCCACGCCCATATTAAGACAATATTAAATCCGTATATTTCAGATCATATAACAGTTAGAGTCCTCAAATTTTGTCGGAGCAACTTTAGTGTCAATATGATTATATAGGACAAAATGTAGGCGGAATAGCATTAGGGGGCGTGGCACCTCCCATATAAATTAAATACAAAAATTCGTTTATCTTGGAAACTATTACAGTTAGAATCTTCAAATTTTCCACGAATAACTTTAACATCCATTTAAACATTTTGGGTAATAAATTGGCGGACTACCCATGAGGGGAGCGGCACCTCCCATATTAATTAAATACAAAAATTTTTTTATCTGGAAAACTAATGAAACTAAATTCTTTAAAATTTGCACGAAGAACTTAAATATTCATCTGAACATTTTGGAGCGAAAAAAACGGGGCTTAAAGCCCCCAGATGAATTAAATAGAAAAATTCTTATATCTGAGAAATTATTAGAACAAGAATCTTTAAATTTTACTTGAAGAATCTTGACATTCATCTGATCATTTAGAGTATAACGGGCGGACTTTCAATGGGGAACTTGTCACCTCCCATATGAATTAAATATAAAATTTCGTTTATCTGGGAAACTAATAGAACTTGATTCTTAAAAGTTTGCACAAATTACTTTAATATTCATCTGAACATTTTGGAGGAAAAAGCGCGGACTTTCATCTGGGGAGCTTGAAGCCCCCACATGAATCATATAGAAAAATTCTTCGATCGTATATCTTTAAATTTTACATGAAGAACTTTGACATTCATGTGAACATTTAGAGCATAACGAG